ACAAAAAAACAAGCTTCTTAGGAAGAAAAGCAGTTGGCACGTCCCTTTTTGCCTTTGATCACAACAAAACGCTTGTTTCGTATACGCCTAAGCGAAATAAAGTTGTGCTTTTACTATCCACTTTGCATCCTGATTCATCCATTAATGTTGATACTGGAAAGCCAAACCTGATACATTCATATAATGAAACGAAGGGAGGAACGGATAGTTTTGACCAGTTATGTCATTCTTACACGACATCACGCAAAACTAGAAGGTGACCCGTGAGAATATTTTTCCATATGTTGGATGCCAGTGGAATTAATGCTATGATTATATTCTCTCTTGTGAATCCAGATTGGAAAGAAAATACTAAAAATAATCGTAAAACGAGAACTAAGAACTAAGTAATTCATTAATTGAGCCACATTTACGAGAGCGGGCACAAGTGACCACGCTGCGATCATATCTTCGGCTTAGCATTAGTGAAATTCTAGGAATGGATGCGCCACAAAGACAGCATCCAGCAACAGATCAGCCAAGAAAGGTGAGATGTGCAATATGTCCACGTGGTAAAGACAGAAAAACTAACTTTGGATGTTCTAAATGCTACAAACCATATTGTTTAGAGCACAGGGTTAAACTTTGCTGCCAATGTGAAGGCACAAACCGAGTTTCATGGTTAAGAAATTTATTGAGGTGTATTTTCATTTTTCAACTTTTTTTATGTTCTATAATGACTTTTTAGACAATAAAAATGTATTTAGCTTTTTAAAAGTTTTTTATTGCATTTTTATTGATTACCTTCAGTTAATGTGCAATTGTATACTGATTTGTAATATTCTTTGTTCTAATACAATTAACGTTGAACCCAATGAACAAAATATTATTAAAATATTTTCTTCTACGAATTATCTGATGTATTTTGATATAAAAAGTAAAAATAGAATAATGAGGGTACATAACATCCAACAAAAATACTTGGGTTTCTCAAACCCCAGTGTGCAGTTTATAGGATAAAAAATAAGTGTGCAGTTCCAGGGTTAAGCTCATTGTGTTGTTTTGCATGGCTTCATAGCAACGCGTACACCATTTTTTTTTCAAGTACCCTGTTACACATATTAATACAGAAGCAACAGAGGTATTTTTGTAAATAAAAATTATAATCTTTTATAAAAAAACTTTGTGCAAGAGTTGACATGGATACAAGTAGGTAACAGTTTCCTTTTCAAACACATTTCGGCTTCTTCTTGGTATGCAGATGGCCGCAACAAAGCCTAATGCGTCTTGTAATTGATACTGGATAGGATAAGATCATTTATAATACTCATTAGGGGATCAGTAAGTAAGAAAACTGATACCACTTTAGTGTAACAGTAGTAGTTTGCATGATATCAGGATCGTATCCGCAAGGGTTTCTTTCATATTCAGACACCCATGGGCGCCCGCAGGAATTTTTCTCAGCGGGTCACCGGCAAGAATCAAATTTTTGTGAAAGCGTAGCTGCTTTTTGAAAAGCGGGGGGGAGCGAAATTTCTTTGCTTGCGAAATCCTAAAAATTGCTAAATTTTACACAAAATCGCTAAATAGCTCGAACCGAATTGTGAGAGGGGCACTACCCTTGTGCTCGGGCAACATGCAGACACCTTTTTGAAGGTTATGAAGTAAAATGGATATCAACTATCCTCGCGTTGATATTTTCGGTTCAACTCATTTCTTATTTGTACACACTGCGCAACATGAGCTAATCTTAAATATACAGGGTGTCCGCAAAGTTGGGGTTTTCCTTTACACGACGTGTAGATCTTGAAAACATAAGCAATTTTTCTTAGTACCATATACACCAATGTCTTAAGGGAACCGAGATAAAGGGCTCTGCAACATCAAAAATATCTGAATCCCGTCCTGTAGCCGCGACTCGCGACATCCCCAACTGGTACTAGGACACTAGCTGAACTGGGTCAGGGGTCGGGGTCAGTGTGTCAGGTCAGTATGCAAGCTTCAACCGACGGTTACGGTCACGCGAGTAGAGGTAAACGAACCCGTATAATCGATTACGTTTCAAAAAACAACAAGCACTAGAGACGTGGCTAGAGAAGTGCAAGTATCAAAAACTAAAGTGTGGCAAACGCTGCGTGAAGAGGGGCTGTATCCGTTTCACGTCCAACCTGACGATTTTCCAGCAAGAGTGCGGTTTTGTGAGTGGTTGTTGCATCAACATGACAATAATCCGGACTTTTTGAAGTGCATATTGGTGATAGACGAATCTACGTTCACGCGTAATGGGGTGAATAACTTTAGCAACACTCATGTTTGGTCAGTAGAAAATCCGCACGCTGTCCGTCGGGCACATTTTCAACAAACATTTTCGGTGAATCTTTGGGCTGGCATGGTGAACGGTATGCTCATTGGACCATTTATTCTCCCAAATCGAATGGACGGGATGCAATACCTAGACTTTTTACGCAACATTTTGCCTTCCTTGTTAGAAGATGTGCCATTAAGTGTAAGACAATCAATCTGGTTTCTGCACGATGGTCATATTTGTTACCTCTGTTCGTGGTCTACTGGTCTGCACCACCGCCGGCGTCTGCTCGGTAGCGCATCAGCTGATTTCATTTTCTGTTGGAGCGGTATGATTTCGGGCAGAGACGTACTTAGCCCTTCTCGTCAACTGGAGAGTGAGTACTTTTTTCTTTATTTTTTTTTTACTTGGTCGCCCTCGTTTCACTACACATTACCTTTGTTATTTCAAGGGTAGTTGTTTCTGAAAAGGAAAACCCCAACTTTGCGGACACCCTGTATAAAAGCAAAGAGACACTCACTCACTCACTGATAATTACGAAATCTCAAAAACTGTTTATATACAGTGATTTTCAAAAAGGCCTCCCCCGTCTTATTTGTTGGACTGGTCAAGCTGAAGTTTCAAGATGGCGGCTGGACACCATTTTGAAACATTTGTCATGTGGTATCTCATTTTGAAGCTCCTTATATAAGTACTTTATATCAGTAAAATGTAAAGTCACCACGTTTCAAAATGGCTAACTGGGAATTTGCCAAAGTAGAACATTTCTATTTACTGAATCTACTACAGCTCGTCGTTGCTTCTCAAGGCGGTCCGGAGGACCTTAGCCTTTAGGTCATAGTCACTGTAATGTCAGTGTCTGTCTTCAGTCTGTCAGGTCTGGTCGCCCTGAGACCAGACAAGTTGTAGGGGAAAGGGGAGAGGGAGAAGGAAAGGAAGGAAGTAGGAGCGAGAAGAGAGAGAAAATGAATGGTTTTATGTAAATATTTGAGGTGTGATAGATATAAGAACTGTTACATTGTAACATACTATATAAATTTTTGATTTACTGAATCACTTATAATTCGACAACTAATCGTCAATACGATATAGTGTGATGTATCAATTGTTTTCTCTTGGAAAGGTCTATCTGAATATGTAATAATATATGAAACATTTCATTGAAAATTTGATATGTCACACTATAACGCTTTGTCGATTCAATATACGAGTATATATTGTTTGACAGCTTCCAAATAAGCCATTTTGCAGTTAGTAATTTTAAATTCTAGGGTTATAAAGTATTCATCTTCACAATAACTTATCACACGTCCCCTCATTACATTTAAAAAAATGTAACAATATTGGCCCAGTCGCCATCTTGAAATTTTCAACTGTTATTTTTACGTTAAAAATGGTATTTATGCCCCATTTTTATTCACACGAATTTCAGCTTGCTAATTTGACCCATTCAAAGTAGGAGTATTCAAACTTCAGTGTTCATCTGTCAGCGAGCGTTCAGTCGGTAGTCTTCTAAAGGGCCACACCTATAAATACAGCTCCTCAGCGGCATGCGAATTTGAAATTTCACTGTTTGCCGCATTGTTTCCAACTTTTGATTAATTTCCTTGGATAATTTTTAGGTTAGGGTATTTCTTCTGCTATTACATTATCTTAATTTGTATTTACGGACTGTTTTTTTCTTGAGTGGATATAGGCATAGTTTAAACCAAAAATGTGGTCTTACAAAAATAATTCACTTATATTGAAAATGTTTCTTATGTACCTTTATCCTTTATGTTTATTTCTACTTATGATATTAGTTATACCTATCTCACTATTTTCAAGCGAATAAAGTCGCGGGTAACAGCTAATTATCAAAATAAAATTGAACTCACCAATTGGCGCCATTTTATAGCAGCATCTGACATCCACCCTAAATTTTTTTGAATTACCACGAAGCAGTTCATCCTGTTGGCCTTCCCAAACAAAAAATCACTCACATTCACTAAACCCACACGCCACCAGTACATTTTGTTGGTCGCGATTAAGTTTTCACCAGAAAATCACTAAAAATCGCGCTCCCGATGCGACCGGGTATAAAAACCGCGTAAAGACTGTCAAAAACAATTGAATATCGGCCACCAGATGATGCCTTGATTTTGCAGAATTCCCAACCGGACATCGCTTCCAGGAATTCCTATGCCATTGTCCCATAGTCCAGTGAAACAGGGATGTCAGATGAAACAAATTGATGCTGATCCGAATCTATTTACTTTCAGTCTTTTTGACCATGACCAGCCATATACAAAGTTGTTTCGTGCTTGTGAACAAACACAGTAGGTTATAGAACTAGACTTGGAGAGAGACAACGGAAAATAAACAAGCGGAAATGGTCTACTGAAAAACTCAAAATGCATTCGTTCATTTTTGTGGATTTTTTATTTTTACTACATACGCCATTGGGAGAGGAAGTATTGTAATCAAGTCATTTTCCACAAGGGAACTGCCTGGTTCTAAAAATGTGAAGGATTAAACACGAACTTAATGCTTTTTCATCAGCTTTTTCAGCATTGCATAGAAGTTCAGAATCAACATAGTTGGCTTCATTTTATGAAAAAATATCGCATCATTTTTGTATTCTATATACAAAATTTGACCAGTTCCTATATTTTATATTTTTAATAGCGATTGACGTCTTCCAACGTGTTGATAATTGATAAAAATCTGGTTTCAGAATGTGACGATGAATCCCGTTCGATAGATTTCGAACAACCGCTGCTGCGCAAGTCCCAACCTCTTTTGGACTCACCGATTGGCCCTGGGGGACAGGCCCTTCATTACCCGCCTGATCTTCTGCCCTTTCCAGCTGCCGCTGCCAGAGCTGCACAGGTAACTATTTCATTAATATAACCATGATTTTCAGTAAAGTCGGATCCGGGAACATAGGGATCGTAACCCCACTGCTCTAGGCGGGAACAATTCGACCACTAATATTGTTTAGCTTTATAGAGAATCGCAATACTAAAATGTATCAATATCCAAAGTCTTTATGCATCCTTCTATTCGTCAATGTCCATCAGAGCGGTCTGCTATTGGATAAGGTATGTCAGGTCTGGTTGCCCAGATTCCAGAAGATGTCAGGGAGAAAGAAAGGAAGGAAGAAGAAAGAAAGGGAAGAAGGGGATGAGCAAAGAGAGAGAAGTGCGTCAGCCTTGGCGTTGTTGCAGTATTTAAATTGATCCAAAAATTTATTAAGGAGTTTGTAAGTGTGGGAAAAATCGTAATTTTAGTTAGCCGCGGTCTTGTGTGCTTACGAACTAACTTTACCTAAGTGGGAACAGATGAATTTTAGGGAATGAAAAGCCTTTAAAATGCGACTGTAACATATAATGCCCACGGATATTCGATTTCCCGGACATGGGTCCCATAAAATTTTTGTAGCGACATTGGTAAGACCCATAAATTCGGTAGTTCCTTATTTTTTTATACCAAAAGTATTATTCATTGTGTTTGATCCTTACAATAAACTACATTTTGGATAACTTTTCATTTTCAGGTGTCCCCAGCTGCCAGCTGTGCGTCCACCGTAGCTGACACAGCTCGCCTGCCATGTCCGCAATCACCGTTACATAGTCCAGTGTACGACCAACTTAGTCTGTACAGATCAGAACAATACAGAACACTGCCCTACTCCAGGTCCCATTCACCTTTCGTTGCACCTGGTCAGATCGCCCAAGCTCAGCCCAGAGTTCCCAGGCATGGTAAAGGTATTTTTCGTTTATCAGTCATCTTCACTAGGTGGTGGTCATAATAATCATAACCATAGCATATGGAACAGCTCGTGATAATCTAGCGTCCGTTACGCATGTGCAGGATATTTTGTTTTGACCCTAAGGGAAGTATCGACAGTAGTTCCTACAATTGTAGGACGCCTTTATGGCCTCCTTGATTGTTATAGTTCTCTACTGTTCCGTGCCAGCGCTGTATTTTGAGGTTATGTTACAAATATTTATTTGCATCAAATTGTTCATGTTTTTGATTTATATCATCTGTTATATCAGCCTAAAGCTTTCTACAGTTCAAAAAGGAAACATGGTCTCACAATGGGAGAGCGCTGACGCTGACACGAAACAGCAGAAGTCTAGAAATACCCTAGCCCAGCATGGATTTGGGGGTGGAAAATCAACAATAAGTGCAATTCACTCTTTTTTTTGAGTCAATAACACTGGACAATAAATTTTAGTTTTTTAATTGTATTTTGTGGGAAAAGTGCACTTCTTTGTTAGTTTTGGGGCGCTGAATCCAAAAATGACAATGAAATAAAAAAATTAGTTGCGGTTTAGAAAAAAAACTTTTTATTTTTAAGGATATATTAAAAAAAGTAACAAGATTCATATACTTATAAGAATCACTATATGCGCTGTCTTTTTGCTGTTCTTTTATGGATCGTTTCTGGAGCATATCTACCAAGAGTCCAACAGTAGTCTGCAAGCATGGAAGGATTCCACTTTCCCTGGTACCTTTTTTCCATTGTTGAAATATCCTGATGAAAACGTTCGCCGTGCTCATCACTTACGGCTCCGCAATTGTCAGGAAAAAAGTCCAGGTGTGAGTGTAGGAAATGTATCTTAAGAGACATATTACAGCCCATCTTTTGATACGATGACAGCATATTTTTGACAAGGGTTTTATAGTTGTCAGCTTTTCTATTTCCCAAGAAATTAGTGACCACCAGACGGAAATCGTTCCAAGCAGTTTTTTCAATACCTGTTAGAGTGTTTTCAAACTGTGTATCTTTCAAAATATTTCGAATCTGTGGCCCAACAACCTTCTTTAACCTTTGCCTCACTTAGTCTTGGAAATTTCTGACGCAGGTATTGAAAAGCTGACCCATCTCTATCTAATGCCTTGACAAAGTTTTTCATTAGGCCCAACTTGATATGCAGTGGTGGTAATAAAATTTTTTTCGAATCTACTAATGGCATGTGCTGTACATTTTTTTGACCTGGCTCTAGGAATTCACGAACAGGCCAGTTTTGTCTGGTGTAATGAAGTGCCTTTGCCCGACTGTCCCATTCACACAAAAAACAGCAAAACTTTGTGTAGCCTAGCTGCAGCCCAAGTAAAAGTGCAACAAATTTCAAATCGCCACAAATATGCCATTGGTGCTCATCGTATTTTATGCATATCAATAGGTACTTCATATTGTCATATGATTCTTTCATGTGAACTGCATACCCCAAAGGAAGAGATGGTAAAATATGTCCAATAGGCAATAACACTGCCTTTAAACTCAATGTTGAACTGTCTATAAACAATCTCCATTCTTCTGGGTTATAGTTTATATTTAAAGCCGCCAGTAAGCCGTTAATGTTACTGCAGAAAACCAAGTTATTCTCCATATTGAAAAATGGTTCTAAGTCTTTGTGGCGTTTACGAAAAATACATACCAAAACATCGTCTTCTAACAAGTTCCACTGCTGCAGTCTTGATCCAAGTAACTCTGCCTTACATTTTGGAAGTTCTAAATCTCTTACAAGATCATTTAATTCTGACTGTGTTATTTTGTGCGGTTGGTGGCATAACGTGCTCGGTATAAAATCAGGATCTCTTGACGTTGATGGCACATCTTCTTCCTGACGAATCACTCGATCGCCATGATCTGATTCGTTTTCTGATTCGCAAGTGTAGGATTCTGGGGGTTTTGGAATAGGATTTTCGTCACTGTGAGGCACAGGTCTGATCGCAGATGGTATGTTTGGGTAGTTAATAACCGATTTTTTTTTCTTGGACATACCTGTGGCTTGTCCAACACAAGGTACCATGCAAAAGTAACAATCATTAATATGTTTTGTAGGCTCTCTCCAAACCATTGGGACAGCAAAGCGCATAGACCGTTTTTTGCCATTTAACCAGCTCCTCAGACTTGAAGCACATGTATTACAGCAGATGTGGGGTGCCCACTGTTTGTCTTGATCACCTAGTTTACAACCGAAATAAAGCTGATATGCCTTTGTTATTAGTGGAGTAATAGACCGTCTCTGAGACGCAAAAGTCACATCACCACACACGTAACAAAACTGATCTGGATTGTTTACACACTTTCGAGACATCTTGCATGAACGCTGTCAGCCAACTGAGGAAAAAATGGCTAATATAAAACAATATAATGTAACGTAACACAATCATGCCGATTACATCATTTTTCCTTGCCGAATATAAAAAGTGTAGCACGTGCATTCTTGTGAATTACAGTATATTAACACTGTCACAGCAGGAACACATATAATTACCGTATCTCTAAAACTTGAACTAATATTGAAAAAATAAGTTTCATTCCGGTTTTAGCACATTAAAAATAGTAATATTTTGTTGACTTTATTTAGGATATTTTTTGGCTGTTGATCAGTGTAATTTTTGGCGAGTGCCCTGTTGGTATATTTGGCGATCTGAGCAGGGCGTTCGCCTGTGTCGATCACATAATTTTGCTCAATAAACTCAGCCAGTCTGGCACGGGTATCAGGTATCTTTAAAAGTGACATTATGCCGATTTTTTTTGAAATTATGCTGTTTTTTGACATTATGTAGGTTTTTCTACTTAGCACTTAGGTCCGTATCGTCAGTCGTCCCTACAATTGTAGGGCGCGTTTATGGCCTCCTTGATTGTCATACTCCTTTCTCTCCTTCAAAAATTTCTAGATTACACTTGTCCCGTGGCAGCGTCAGCGCTCTCCTATTGTGAAGATATGTTTTCTTTTTAAATTGTAGGAAATTTCAGGCTGATAAAACATGATATAACTCAAAAGCAAGCACAATTTGATGCAAATAGATGTTTATGACATAACCTCAAAATAGAGCGCTGACACGGAGAAGTAGAAAACTATGACAATTCGTTCTCAACGATCCTAGTGAGCAAACGTGGAATGAATATTTGCGCCCTAAAAACTACCTAGTTTGAAAGATGACATCTTATAGGTTTTTAGGACGTTTTGTATGTTTTTTACATGATACCCATGCGGAGTATCTGAATCGACTTATAGTTGGTTAGAGTCGTTTCTCAGGGGTTGGAAGCAATATGAATCCATACCACAAAAACACAATAATTCAATTGTGCAAATGGAATCCTCATCAACCACTGTCAACGTGGGCATGCCACAAGGATCCATTTTAGGACCAATTTTATTTAACTTTTCACTTTATATGCAGATGACATGTCTGTATTACTGTCTGACGTATGTGATGTAAATGTTATATAATAATAATAATAATAATAAACCGTCTTTTATTAGAAAAAACAAATTACTGATAATGCATATATTATTATCTATAATTAGATTAGTGAGCAGCTAATGGCAAAGTTTAGCTATGGCAGCTATTCTTAAGAATAATAGATGGTAAAAAAGTACAGCTGTAAAGAAAATAAAAGGAGGAAAATGTCCATGTAACTGATTACAACCTAAATAAAAATTAGCTTAAAAATATAATGCTGGAGAAAAACACCTTTAAGAATCACCATTGAGCAGAAGAGCTCTTAAGTGTTTTTTAAAACTATACAGCGGCAGGCATTTTGTTCTGTAATCTAAGCTATTGTACAACATGCATGCATTATATGAGAAGGACCTGTTAAAAACAGATGAACTATGAAGTGGCATTGTTAAAGCGAATGTGTTACGGATATGTCGTTGTATCTAAGTGCAATAGATGATGAGTGGTTCTCGAGGCACCTCCTGTATCTCAGTTCGGATAAAGCTTCATCATTGAGGTTCCGCAATGCTCACAAGAAGCTCAGTCCCTTAGATCTTAAAATTAAAGCCAACCTATAATTAGAACACCAAGAAAAGTTGACGACAACCTCACTTTTAGGTACGCTTGAAACATTGTTTATTTGACATGCTTTTACGCCATCAACTAACTTTTTAGCTTATAGGTATTTATTTAATTTTGATTAATCCAGTGTCAAGATGGATAATAAATATTATTATTAAAATCGAAAAGCTTCGTTCATCTGCAGCTTTGTCATTATCGAAACTTTAAACTTCGACATAATCTAATTACTTGATCTCAAATAAAATAATTGTTTTCTCCGCAGGTTATGTGACAATGCCGCGCCGCCCCCGCCAGCAATCCTGGTCTTCTGAACCACCCCTACTGTCCGACCTCGGCGAGCCCTTGTACGACAATCTGGGCAAGCGGACTACGGCTACAGGAGCCATCAGCACCCAGTCTTTGGACAAGCTGGACAGCAATGGGAAGGCCACGGCCACCAGCACTCCCAGAACCAATAGGATGTTGAGTCCGGTTACCACCCCCGGGGGATGCGACCCCATCCAGGAATTGCATGAACATTCGCCGCCAACGATGGCCAGCCAAACGTTACCCAGGTAATAATATAGGATTAACAAGCGAGCACGTGAAGATGAAGTTGTGTCATTGACACTCACAGATAGGCATGAGACATACGTCTCTCGCTCATTTCGTTCATCTCTCTTTAGTGAGTCGTTCGTTCGGAGTCGTTCATTTGAACGATATAATTACCGACCGGCCTCGAAGCTGACGAGAGTATTGTGTTGCCTATAGTAACGACTCACTGAGTCAGAGAATTATACATCATACTATGAAAATGAAATGAACGGTTGGGTTGCCGGTGTTATTGTATTTAAGTATTAATATTTTTGGTTGAAATTGAATATAACGATACTGTCTTCCGAAAAAAGAAGGGATACTGTCGTCCGGTTTTGAGGAATTACCGAATTCTGAATCAAAATACAATTTTTGCTCTCAAATCCCATCATTTCAACCTATAATTTAATGAGATATCTTAAAACAAAACAATTGGGTTCCCTAGATAGTGTGTGTACTGTTACCACGTTGTCAGTTCGCAGTTCATTTGCTGCATACCACCTGCAGACACGCTTTGCACTTTTTGGACGAGCCATATGTAACAAAAGAGTCGTTCAATCATCGCTCACTTAGATGAGTCGTTTATTTTGAACGACTCGTTCGCGAACGACACATGACTACTCACAGAGGGTTTCAGGAGTTCAATCTCTCACGAGAAGGGCGTAGACTAGCCAATTCCTAAGATTAGATAAGCGTTTTTACTTCATATGCGACTGGAACGAAGCAAGTATTGTAATCGCGAAAAATTTCGAATATAAGATGCTGTGTTTTTTTGATGTTATACGACATGAACATCACGAAAAACCATGTTAATCATTTCCGTCTGTGTGTATGTCTTTTCGCTAATCCTTGGCCCGTAACTTGAAAAGTACCGCGGAACCATGCATACCAAGTGAAGGGGGTCATTTTCAACAATTTTTGTAATCATTTCGTTGGTTTTAATGTCGTTTATGTTGTCAGTTGTTGTTCATCATTACCGCTAACGTGTTTAATTTTTCCAATTAAATAATTTTGCAAGTTCGACAATAGAACGGTTTTTATTTTTTACTCAAAAATGGCGCATCGAAGGAATACAATTCAAGAAACATCATTTGTTTTAAATTGAACGAGGAAATCAAAAATAATTTTATTTGGCAAAAAACCATTGGCGTACCATTTTTTTCTTAAAAAATAATATCGAAGTCAATACCCGTACGCACTCCACTGTTAAAGCTAACATTTATTTTTACATTGAAAAATATGCAACTTTATTAACTTTCACTACGTACTAAATATCAGTGAAATATCTGAGGCGGTTCTGAAAATATTAATTAACTTCTATTTTTTTCCTAAAACCTCAACACCCCGAGTTTTTGTAAGGAAACATTTTTGCACCAAAGTTTATAAAGCAAACTAGCATTAATTTGTCATGTAGATTTACACCCTTAAATATTCGCATATCATCAAGGAACACCCTGTATATCTGGTATTATTCAAAGACGTTCTATCGTTAAGAAACTTCTTAACCCGGTATGCTTTTGTAAATGATGACTGTTTTATATCTACTCATATATTTTTCTGAATTTTCGCCTAACCTTTAATTTGTATTACTGAGTCTATGATGGTCTTCTGAATATTTCGTCAAGTAGATCGACTCAGTACTTTGTCGCATCGATGTACAACAGACATGGAGTGACAAACCGATGTAAATGAAAAACACGAACGTGTGCTATGCAGATATCTTTGAGCAACAGCAAACTTTTGAAATGAAGTTTGAATATTATCGCGAGGTTAATACTTTGTTTAGGTAGTCATAGATTTTGAAAGTTGATTCCGAGTGGCGGAACTACAGACAAAATAATAAAAATCGCTGTAAGATAGTATTACAACGTTTCAGAGGTTCTTGCTCATTTTCATACATTGTTTGGAGGTGCTTACAATTGTAGGTTGGAAGCGTATCCGGTAAATTGTTATTAATTTTGACATATTTGATGTCAGTGAAAGACCTTTTATTATTAGGAAGCTTCTGATCTCAGTGATACTTGCACGTGTTAGTCACACATATTTCCCCTACATCTGTAAACGGAAATATACTAATCATTACGATTCGATTTCCCGTTTTGGAGGCACTTGACTCATCTCTTTTCTTTGAATCCTTCAGCGAAGACGTAGGAAGTATGCCTTCAATCTACTTGACGCCAATTTCAAACACAAGTGACAATTCTTATGACAATATCATTTGTACTTGAAAAAGGCCATCGTGGTGACCGTGAAATGTTTCTACTTTTACTCAAATTAATTTTCGAATGTTTTTCCAGGAACCACGTTCTAAGCTCATCATCGAAGCCGCCAGTCTCCTCGCGAACCCAATGGGCGCGATCGAACGCCGAAGCGCTCCGCAGCCCTGAGAAGCGCAACTCGACCGCTTCCTTACCTCCAGCATCGCTGGCAGCACCGACGGCTGACGGCCAGCAACCGCCCACAACGACGAAGACGACCAAAGTTCCTCCAAGGCCACCGCCCAAACCCAAAAAGAGGCTATCCACGTCTGGTACAAGCACCGGGCCGCTGTTTGAGGATGAAGGAGAGGATGGCACAGAGGTATGTCTTCTATTTGCATTAATATTTATGAATTTCGAATTAATGAAATATGTGTGATGGATACAAAAGGGTAAAAAATTACCAGATTTGGTGAAAAATCACCACACCTGGCAACCCTGGTCAGTTTGTTAGCGCATCTATGATGGCGTGGAAATAAGAGGGTTGCGTAAGTCTGGTTGCCTATATGTTCAGCTTGACGCAAATATAAATAAAATGGTGATTCTGCATTTTTCCGCTTGGTAGCACTGCATGTCCGTCAGTGCATTATTGGAAATTGAGCCTCATGTGTTCTGTGTTAATTGAAAATTCAGACATTCGGATAGGGATATAAAAAACCTGTTAACGCGCCTTTAACGTTGTGAGGGTAAATCTATGCAAATATTAGCCATATTTCTTACATTTTACCCATACATTTGCCTTTAAAAAAACTTAGTTAGTTTGACTGACTTAATACGTTCAATTTCTCTGTTTTACATGTCCGTAACTCAATATTTCCTCAGAGCATTTAAATTGCTCTGAACGTTGCTCGAGAAGTGCAGAGTCAAACTACTTGACGCAATTATTGATACTCATAACAAAGCTTCCGGGATTCTAAACAAGAAAGCAAATAGATTTGATGTGAAATAAAAAGATTGCATAGATATGGACTTGTAAGTCTCCGATTTTAACAGATTTTTACGATATTAAATATACACTTCAGTTATTGCTTTTTAAAAACCCGATTAATGCCAATATATACTAAGTGACATATAAATCCGAACACCCAGTTTAAATTGTTTTAATTTAATAAAAGTTGGTGAATGTATTTATCTTACTGTAAACAACAAGTGAAAAAATGTTCACCCTTATCAGTTGGACATTCCGGTTTTTATACTGCTTTTTTTTAATTCACTAACGCTCTAAAAATGAATATTTCAGCCGCAGTAAAGAATCAACGTTGGCGGATTTTGGTTCTTGACATCCTTTACGATCGGTTACGATGCCTAGAGTACGGAGACCTGTACGATTTCGTCAATTTAGTGAGTTTGATAGGGGCCGTATAGTGGGACTTCGGGAAGCTGGACTTTCTTTTCGGGCAATTGCATGTTAGAGTGCAAAGAAGTGTAGACACTGTGGTTAGGTGTTGTCAGGCATGGCTTCGAGAAGGCCGTACGCAAAGATCAAGGGGCACTGGACGCCGCCGTAGAACAACAGACCGTGAAGATCGCCGCCTAAGATTATTGGCCTTAAGGGACCGTTTCTCCACTACCAAGTCCATTGCAAATGAATGGTTTGCAGAACACGGAAGACCTATTGGCATGCGAAGTGTTTACCGACGAATGAGAAGTTTTGGCTTGTTTTCATACCGGCCACACTGGGTCCTCCCTTTAACTCGAGAACACCGACGTAATCGCCTTGAGTGGTGCAGACAACGGTCACTCTGGGATCAGGAATGGAACAGTATTGTCTTTAGTGACGAGTCTCGATTTTGTTTAGGCATGCACGATTGTCGTGCCAGGGTTAGAAGGCGACGTGGTGAAAGGAGGAATCCACAGTTTTTTGTTGAAAGACATGTTCATCACACTGTTGGAGTTATGGTTTGGGGTGCTATAGCTTATGGTTCCAGGTCACCTTTAATCTTCATCAGAGGTAACATGAACGCGCAGCGTTATATCCACGAAGTTCTAGAACCCCATCTTTTACCCTATCTTGACACCCTGGCAGATCCAACTTTCCAACAAGATAATGCCCGACCACATGTTGCAAGAGTCACAATAGACTTCTTTCAACATAATGATGTCACATCGTTACCATGGCCACCAAGATCTCCCGACTTATCCCCAATGTGGGATATGATGGGTAGGAGATTGCTCAATTTGCAACGTCCTACTCAGACTCTAGAAGCACTTCGAGAGGAGTTGGTGGTTGCCTGGAATGAGATACCACAGGAGGACATTGACCACCTGATCAGAAGCATGCCTAGACGCGTTGGAGAATGCGTAGCACATCAGGGTGCATCCACACATTATTAAAGGTCAAAGGACTTTAAAGCAGTGCAATCATTTTGAAATTTTTATCATTTACTTATTATGCTTCATTAAGTACTTATACAAAATTTTATTAAAATAAAACCATTTAAACTGGGTGTTCGGATTTATATGTCACTTAGTACAGATTTGATGTGAAATAAAAAGACTGCATAGATATGGACTTGTAAGTCTCCGATTTTAACAGATTTTTACGATATTAAATATAGACTTCAGTGATTTCTTTTTAAAAATCCGATTAATGCCAATATATTTAATAACCGTTGTTGTTGCAGGTGTGAGACTGGCTTAGGTCAGTGCACGAGGCACTGATCGTCGCGACAGCTGCGGCAGCCGGAACTTAGCCGGAACCGCAACCGGAACTGGAACCGGAACTGGAGCAGCAAGTGATCCGTATGAGTTGACGTGAACGCGTGTGTTAAGATATTACTGTAGTTGTAAATGATGCACGGGAAGCCCTGTCGGCTGGTCGCATGCGGTATAAATATAGAGAGGGTTCGATTTCGACCTGACAAGGGTTGATTTGAATTTCATGTTTATTTCGGATGTGTGTTGTAAGGCACTATCCTCACCAAAAGCAACACGTTGGTAACTCGACTTCAACCCGATTTCATCTGGTTCTGTGGTTGTGAAAAATGTCATGAGGTACAGTTCTTTTCAAGATTTTTCGCGATTACAATATCATACGAATAAATACTCGTAAGTGAACAGATTGACTAACTGTACCTTGAGCTGAAATTAACTTCTCAACGCATCTTCTACTCGCTGTTGCACACAAACATGGATTGAGTGACAAGAGGGCCGCTGTTTTCATTCACCCGCTAAAAATACTCCAATAAATTTAAAAGACTGTTGTGGTATTTTTATTCATCAAAAACTCCCAATACAGTAGGAATAATAAACCATAACAAATCAAGGATCTGCGGAACATCTTGTATGCATACATATTTCTTGAGTCTGATAATCTGCTACATAATTAACTTACTTCTCACATTTCTTTTATCAACTTTACCTCTCCTGGAAAGTTTTCAACACCGCTGCTACAACTGAATCGCTTCAAAGAACATAAAAACGCGATGGAGAAGTGCTTTTAACGCATTATCAATGATTTTTTGCGAATACGTTCGCAACCTTAGCTGCAGGGTCACAGTGACATCCACAAGCCAAACTCGGGTTGGAATCGAATTGCTTTTGGCGACTATTCCTTAACTTGACCACAAAAGCCAACATTGACAAAACACCATAACAACTGTCATTTAAAAAACGATTCTAACTGCATTGTTTTCGCCAAAAAAACGAACTCTAAAATCGACCAAATTGGTGGGGCTTGGATTTTAAATCGTGATGTGTACTAACTAAAAATTCTATTCAATTTAACTGAAATTACGAGTACTGCTTCAAAATTTGTACACCCAAGGAATAAAAAAGCTCGGACAATGTAACTCGGAACAAGAAGAATACGGGAAAGATTTTACTAAGACTTTCATGTAAGGTTGTGAGGAAATCAAAGTTTATTCGAAAAATGAATCCTCGATGTTGGATTTCATCCAATTGAAACACATTTTAATTTGAAACTCCAAGTCCATCAAATAAATCTATTGTTATAAAAGTGTCTAGTTGGAAAATTGAATATTTCTTCTATATTTACAAAAAAAAAATGGCCCATGTCAAGTTCGGAAAACAATCTTCTCATTTCCTTACCACCGATTTAACTTGTGGAAAACAATTTTATCTTGATTTCAATATCGATAACATTTTGTTCCATTTCAAATTTTGAAGAGCTAAATTTGGATTTAGTAAAAAATAAGTCTATCCGTTAAACTGATAATTGTCAGATATTAAACCATACTATTTGGCTAATGGTGGAGATTCTTATAATTTTCCAGTGAGATCGGACACTTGAGTTTTGTATTGCCTTTATCTTCCTTACGGAATCACTGATGTTAATTCAGTCGAAGACTTGTAGATATGTTAACGTTTATCTATGTCCAGATTGAAAGCATGGATGAAAACAAATTGTGCTGAATCAACTGAAAGTTGAAATCCCATCAAAAAATATTGAACAGAAGTTACAAAACAGCAAACAAAACATCAAGCATTGCCTCTAAATTTTATTCTAGCCAAAAATTGACCATTTAATACGTGCTTGATATTCTGTCAGATTCTGTTTTCCTGGCCAATGAATCCAGCAGATTTCTAAAAAATACTATTTATATTACGTCCCAAAAAATTAATCAAATAGAACTCTATATATGTCTTGTGAAACAAACTTACATACGCAAGTCTCAAGAATCCACTAACACATGGAACTTGATCATGGTGGTCCAAATTTATATGGAAACGTAATGTATCAAAAATCTTTGGGGCGACAACTGATCTCTTTATATTCTATGAGTACACGGAGTGATTTTTAAGTATACATAGTTACGTTTTAAATGAAACACTAATAAACCTTTGGTGATTTATTATATATTTATGTAAAATATGTTTCCAGTTGTAGGTAATACTTCGAATGAACGCTTGAATCCTTGAATGTAAAGGTCAGTCTGTTTAAATGCATTCGGCATGTCAAAATCGAATGAAAAATGTAAAGACTATTCACCACGATATTTCAGCACATCCATACATATTAGTCTTGATATTCAGTAGAGAAAAGATTTACTTCCTCTAATCATTGATGAATGATTTGAAATGTAGTCAACAGTTATCTCGCCTGGTTCTTTTTTATTGTACTCCGAAATTTCCGAATAACTTTCGGCGAAGCAATTCCCAAAAAAGCGTTAACATTACTAGAAATTACGAAGCAGCCCTGTTTTCGACCATCCCAAAATCTCACCATGAAAGTGATTTTTCAACATCGGGAAGAGAAAAAAGTCACAAGGACTCAAGTCGGGCTGAGGAGCCACATGAATGTTTTTACTGGCCAAAAACTCGATTATTGACATTGCTGCAGCATTATTATCGTGATACAACACCCTGTTGTTCTTGAGAGTCAAATTTAACACTTCACCAATCATTCTGACCGTCAACCGACGATCTGAATGCACAAGATCCCGGATTCCGTCGATATTTTCATCGGTTCGTGGTTCATTTTCGATCGACTCTCTTCCTTCTGAAAATGCCTTAAACCAACGAAAAAGCTGGGCTCTCAACAAGCCATTATCTCCATAGGTCTCTTTAACAACAATTTCCATTGCACTGTGCAAATACTGATAGCACACCGTTGCTTGAAATTGATGCTCAACATCGCTGCGGACAACCAAATGACTCGGGCGAGTTCAAACTTGTACTGAAGGTGGGTCACATGTTCCCCTCCAACCCCGGCGCCTACAGTGTTGCCAGATCGAACACTACGTTGCCAGTCTCATCACTTGGTTTACAGACCTCGTATTTTGAATCTTACTTACCTATTATCCGTTATTTGATGTCACGTTTTGACGTATTGAACTATCGTGAAATTGGTATTCAGACAGATTCTAATTCACTGAAGATGTGTGAGCCTAAATAATTTTTTGGTAGCTAATAGATTTCTAAATGCGAACGACTTTAGAAAGACTGACTTGGGGAACTTTTAAATTGGTTATAGGCTTAGTAATTTATTAAAAATAATATAGAACAATGAATGTAACGGTGGCATGGAGATTTTAAAAGAGTGTTTTCAAGCAGGGTTCCTAAATAATTTTCGAGTGAAACAAGCATCTTCATAGCCACCACCAGTGCCTTACTATGAAATTGTAATGGATAAAATACGATGTAATTATATTGAATATAGGCCGAACATCAGGAGTTTCAATTACTGCAATAATACCAAGTTAAAGGACTCTTCATACCTAGATCCACGTCTATGTATGTCCAAACCCAATCAAAATGTGAGAAGATCCATCGCTGACTAAGCTCAATTTTCATTGTTTTAGTTTAAATGGGATTCTTATCCGAATTCTGAATGCTTACCGGAACATATTTCAATAAACCTCAAAGACTTCTGAAGCTCGGCCTACTATTAAATGGACTCTTGTGTATAAACTAAAACCAGAAAAATAACGAACCGCTTTTCATCCCCTTGATGTATGCATGTTTTACCGTTCTCGGGCTTCCACTCCGACTGATGCTATAGGCGAATAAGCGCAAATAGGTAGACGATTACATAATTTATTTTATGTGTCTAATCAGCCCAGTAATCATACAACCGTATCATTGAATAGACTCAGAAGTTACCCTCAAAAGCATAAGTATAGCATTATATCATAGTCAATGAAAATGGCAACACTGTAGTAGATGTTGAACGTCTAGCGTGAGATATTAGGTACAGTGTTGCCATATGCATTCTCTATGCCACTGACTGAGTAGCTTTAATGGTAAAGCCCAGCACATTTAAGTACCTCATAAGCTCTGATTTTAGAGCACAACATAGACATTATTATTTACACCAAACAGAAAGGTCCATTAAATACACGGTTAAGTGGAAAACCATTTTAAAAAAAGGCATCCTCTGTATATTTCCACATATAGTCCTGACGCCAGCCAATCCAATATGAGATACCAATGCCTATAAATGACCTAAATCATTTCTTTTAAGTAATATTGAAATTATCTGTTATCCTAGCACACTAAAATACCAATATGTGTTTTACTGGTTCTGCTACGAAGTGTATTAAAATTACTGGGCTGAGTGTAGTTACAAAATAACAAAAGTAAAATCTGATGTAACGTTGACCAGAATAAACAGATTGTCCAGTTATGTGTTAAACTTCAAAATGTAAAGGATGTTATGAATTGTTGTTAAGACACATCTTGACAGAATTTGTTAATATTTTTTATTGAGTATAAAGCTCGATCCTCTACAAGTGCTTTCGGTAATATGCTTACATAAAATGCAAGGACATCTTACTTATATGTATTCTGTATATATCCGTCAAAGAAATAAACTATATGACAATTGTAGATACTAAACGAAATTCTCAAATCATTCATACCATTATCCAATTAAGTGCTGTTAATTTTAAGTTTATAATATTTGTCATACCTTCTATTGAGATATCTTATTGACCAAACTTTAAAACCTTATAGAATATATTTAATATGTTTTAAAGTGTTGACAAAGAATACAGATTTTATTTTTGTTATAATTAATTCTGTAATAAAAGGGTATGTTGCTTATATTTTTATTTTTATATGTAATTTTAGATATATAGTTTTGAGTTGCTCAACTCATCATTTTGTGATGTACATTTGAAAATTATACTTTAAATCTCTGCTGTATGCACTGTATATAAAATATTCGTATATCATATTCTGCAATCTAAAATGTACAGTATACCAATCTTTGAGTCAATATATAAATATGATTTTTGTATGATTATTTATTGATGAACCGTCCCCAAAACAATAAATTATGTTGTTTTGTATTAGTTAGTAGTTTTGAGACATCCAGAAACCTTTCATTAAGGGTGAAGACCCGGATTATTCACTCCACAACCGTTAGTGCCCATAACTGTACAGAAATTCTCTAGTTGATGTAGAATCACCTTTTTGGCAGGCTTAGAACCAACTCTCCGTAGGTTAATGGAATGATAATCCTGGGGGAATATCAAAAGCACCTTCTTTGGAATCTATATAACCTCATCAGCTGCGTTTGAAGTTTTTAGGGCCAGTTTTATCACTCCGCGGAACACAATGAAAACACAAAATATATTTTTTGTGTAGTAAGTAAAATTATTGGATTAATACTATGTTGCATAGTAGGCAAAAATATAATTAAATTCAAAGTTGTTACAAAATAATATAATATGCATCATAACACTGTTTACCCTTATCTTATTTACACACTACTACCTAAATCACATATATAGAAAATTGATGGAAATATGAGTAAAAACCAAATTTACCTCCTAGCTAAAAGTATAGATCAACATAAGGATAGTACACAACGACACCACCAAACCAAGAATTATAGAATCTCGCCTCTTCTTCAAATTTATCCTTTGAATAAGGCTGCTGATCATTGGGTATCTGTTTGAAATATTATTGAATCTTGTCTGCAGTTTCTTTAGGGTCTGCCTCTGTGAAGTCAAATGCTCTCTGGTCTCCATTGCAATTGATATTTGATCATTGACCAAACGGTCAGAGCTGTTGATAAAAAAAATTTATGTGATTTGTGATAGAACTGAAGCAATGTTATTTCAATATTTCGGCAACAACAATAAAGGAAGCTTCAAAGGCCTGTTATAAGTACAACCGAACAAATTCAGACTAGGAAATGCGAGTGTTAGTAGCTATACAGTAATGGACAAAAGTATATAGACAAATTAATATTGTGCTGTATTTCTTCTTTAACTTGTTTTATTAATACAAAAAACCGGAATTCATAATTCGCTATAGCACAATACGCACTTCTACATCAATAAATTCATTAGACTCCCTTCAATAAAAGATTAACCACCTGGCATCGTCTCGGCATAGATTGTAGAAGTTTCTTGATATAAGATTCATCAATCTGTCTCCACGTTTGCTCTAAAGCGGCAAAAAGTTCATCCTTGTTTGAACAACTTTTATCTCATATTTGCTTAACTAAGTATTCCCATAGATTTTCAATTTGGGTTTATATGGGAGACTGTGAAGGCCATTTGAGAACTGGTATTTTTTCATCCAGAAATAATTTCTTTGCGAGATTTGAAGTGTGATTCGGGTCATTATGTATGTATGGGTATACAAACTTATCCATAATTCTATGTAAAGAGGTCCCATCCCAAACGCCAAAAACCACCCCCAAACCATAACAAACCCGCCTCCATGTTTGACAGTGGGCAAAGTGTACTTGGGGTGCAATCTTTGTCCACAAGGACGGCTAAAGAAATAAACACCATCTGATCCAAACATATTGAACTTGGATTCGTCACTGAAACATACCCTCTTCCAGTCACAGATGCTCCAATCAAGATGCAACCATGCAAATTGTAATCGGTCCCTACGGTTTTACCTGAAGATTAGCTACTTCTTACTCGGGCGACGTGCAAATAACTTCAAATCATTTAATCTTCTACTTATAGTTTTTGTAGAAACACTGACAATTCCTTTTATGTCGATTTCTGCTTTTGTCCTGGGGTTTTAAACAGATCTTTGGATGAAATTACTCTTATTAATCTAACTGATCTAGCATTTAGTTTTCTAGACCGACCTCTTCTCTTAGAGACTTCCAAGATAACTTTTTGTTTATATTTGTTATATGTTTTATATTGCCTAAACTGCATCTCACTTCAGCTTCAATTTTTTGGCAATCTTGACTTGAAGTTGAAAATCTTTGAATAACTCAATGATCTTAGTTTTCACATCAAAAGAAATTTCTGGACCACGTGGCATGGTCTTAAAATCACTCAACTTATTCCACAATACTTGAGATGAGCACAAACTAATCCTCTTCTGACACGAAACTGTACTAAACTAACGTTGAAAAGAATTTGTCTACATATTTTTGTCCCTCATAAAAAAGTGTTTATATTCAGACTTCTATTGTGTTCATTGCAGATAATGTAAAAACAAGGAATTTAGATTTTCTACTAATAACGCATTTGTTTATGGAGCAATGAAGTATGAATTCATTTTCTAAAGGTATTTAGGTAAATATTCATATTTGTCTATACATATACTTTTGTCCATTACTGTATGTGAGGTTTTCATGACATGGTAATTCTTACATAATTTGCAGAGAGCAGCACAAGCCTAATGAATATAGATGTTCCACTAGTAATATTATTGTGTTCATACAATGCTATCACTTTGGTAGCCAAATAAGTCAAAATTATGCACACAAACTATGTAGTTTTGGTGACAAACAATGCAATGTAAACATGGGGATTTGGCTCCTAATCTATTTGAATTAATTGATAGAGACAAATAAGTATAGTATAGGCAAAATGAACTAGTGGTTCATACTCACCTGTGAATGTGTTGGTTCTCTTTCAAATAAATATCTCTCCGATTGTTGATTCCATCACTTCTAAATGAATCAGACCCTCTGAGCAAGTCTTGCCTCTCTCTTCTACTTTCTCTTTGTGAATTTGTTTTCCTAAAATCCCTTGTCAAGTCAGCTAATATATCTCTATGCCTCTGCAAGGTGTGCAACATTGCAGCACCTGACACTGGTTGTTCTGAAAGTCTTTCATTTATCTGCCCAAGCTGAAAACAATTTTTAAAATATGTTAATTTGGAATAAGACTTATCATTTCAATTTCAAAACATAACACAGATATGAAGGTTTTTAGTAGGGTAGATAAAACCAGATATGGTTTCAACATTTGTTAGGCCAAATTATAGCTTAAGCAGCTTCAATCAGATATTTATGAGACTGTAGGCAAGGCAAGTGATAGTAATTTGGCAAGCAAAAATCATAAATTTGGGATTATAGGTTCAACAGAATTTTAGTTTCTCCATAACATCAAATCTCAATAGTTCATTTGACTTAGCAACCTACAGTGTAAACATGGCAAATGTTAAGATATTAAAAATGGAACAGGAAAGGAAAAGAGAAATATAGGCTACTTTTCATACAATGATGAACAGATAGAAGATGAGGTGCAGGAAGCATTATGTTGGGTAATACATCACAAACATGTATATCTTATACTTTAAACAGTCTTTTACCTTGCTTAAGAGCTGTTCAATTTCCAGCGCCATACTCTCAAAGGTGTCTTCTTCTGATAAAAGAGGCACTGTATCAGAGTGGGTGTGGGGGCTATTGATACCAGCTCCAAGCTTGCTGAATGCCACTAGCTTCAGGTCTATCTCATTTTCGAGTTGTCTAGCTTGCTTTCGTAAATCTACAATAATAAATTCAAATTTAAGATGTTTATCACAAATATTTATCTCATACATACATACCTTCGTAAGATAAAGCTGCTGCCATTGTTATTTCAGAAACAAATCTTGCAAAAACCTGTAAATGTTTGTGTGTATCCTGTAAATTTAAAACATTTTCGCAGCTTACAAATTAGAAAATATTATTTAAAAATGATTTTGATAAGTACCACGTCATACGTCATAGCACAAAACCGAAAATGAGAAACGATTCAAAGGATCTTGAAACGATAACAGAAAGCAAAAGTAAACGACAAATAGAATCTCATCAATAGCACATAAACGCCATTTTCTAGGGTACTGTACAGGGGCACAGAAAAGAATTCCTAATGCAACAGTAATAAAACCCCAAGAATTCAAATAGTACGGAGTAAAAGCGCTTCTGGAGCAACCGCAGGAGTTCAGGCACTACACATATCAGGAGCGATGCGGAAAGGGGAGGGTCGTATCGTAAGGCAGTTATAGCCAAGACCAATTAGGCTCAAGCGTGGATTTGATTCTTTCGAGATGAATATGACTGAAACAATCTTATTTGAACAAACTAGTAGTATAGCTTTCGTTCATCCGTTGTTTTCACTTTCGCAGTGATAGGTTCTGGTAATAGATGGCACTTTGTGCTGTCTTATATCAAGGATTTTTTCGCGAGTCCACGGTGTAGCACAGTGCACTACCGGGAACCGATACTCAAATTTATCGCGAAGAACGGGAATAGGGGAATGGCGGATGTGACGTCGACCGAATGTCAAAACTAACGTCTGTGAGGTACTAGCGGGTGACAGGTCTTATGTCAACGTCATTTAAAAAATAGGCATCTCAATTGAAAATTTGTCTTCGCAGTGCCCAAAATTGAGTTGAATTATTAAATCATAAATGGAGGAACCCGTCCACCTGATTTTAAATGACGAGGGAGAAGATATATGAACCGCACCCACAAATGATTGATTTTATTGATATATATGTCGGTCTTTTTATTTCAGATTCAAACAAGGCAGCTATGTTTATCAAGGAGCTCAAAGCGAACATTTTGGGCAACATGCGCCATCTAACTACTCCCGGTGTAACTTGAAACTGTCAAAACTTCGAGAGGAAGGGGAAATTCCATCTGTTCCCGCTCCGGTTCACTACGGGATCTCACCAAAAAATCTCTATCGATAATCTTATTTAGCTAACGATTGAACGGATCACGGAACAATGACAGAGAGCAAAAGCAAACGTCAAATATAATCTCAAAATCAATAGCACAGAAGCGCCATTTTCTAGGGTACTCTACAGGGGTGCAGTAAAGAATTCCTCGACCATCAGTAATAAAACCCCAAGAATTCGAATAATACGGATTAGTAGCGATTCTGGGGCAGCCGCAAAACTCACGGGTAGGGCACCCCGCAAAAAACTTTATATATATATATATATATTAAATTTCTTCAAGACACCGTTAAAAGAGCACCCTCAAGTATTTCTGGAATGAACGTTTGTTGATACTTAGGCTGAGGAAGGAGGAGGGTCTATAACGTGAGGTATGTATAGCCAAGTCGAATTAGGCTCAAGCGTGAATTTGATTTTTTCGAGATGAATACGGTTGAAACAATTTTCTTCGAACAAACTAGTAATATAGATTTCGTTCGTCCGATGTTTTCACGTTCGCAGTGATTGGTTCTGGTAATAGATAGCACTTTGTGCTGCCTTATTTCGATAATTGTATTTATTTAACCTTGTAAGAGTAGGACTTGAATAGTATCACCATTATAGGTTGAACTAGTTTATAACTGCGTCACTACTCGCATTTGAATCTCAGTTTTCACTTGAACTACGGAAATGATTAATAAGAAAGTATATGATATATAAAAATGTACATTTAATAAAGTGAATAAACAGTCTTTACAACTAAATTACTTCAGTTTACACAATATGTTTCATCCTTACCAAGGCAATAAAAAATCAGTACTTGAGCTTTACAAAAAAGATAATCCATGATACCTACATATTTTCATTATTTTTTGGTTAAGTAACCATGGAAGGCTGCAAGTATAACTGAACTGTATTCAAGGATGAATAAAGAATTAAATATGGCTACAAACGCTTGATAGAAATAATGCTCCATTGTGTCATTTCATCGTAAGGTTTGTCACTCGTGCCTGTGTCAACAGTGGCGTAGCAAGGGAGGGGCGGTCCGCACCGGGTGCCACCTTTTTTGGAGTGACACCCACTCGGTGACTCAACTTCAAGAACAATATACAAACAAAAAAAATTGCACAGATTGCATTGCAAACTAAAGGCTTAAACTGCTACAAACATAGAGGCACTTCGTCTTTGTATCGAAGAAAATCGAGTTAACATCGTGGAAGAGGCAATATATATTGCTACAAAACAATCAGAAGACACCGATATTCCAACAGAAAAACGACTTCGTCGTGAAAAACCGGTGGTTGGTGAGATGGCCAGTGATGCAGGACTCACACTGAAAGAAGAACTTGAAAAAGATATGTTGGAATGTATTAACCGATTCAGAGATGAACTATAGACAAGATTAAAGTATCTTTAAGACCTAGCTTCATTGTTCGAGATCGTACAAAGAAATACTTTGCTTTTGGCGAATACTGAAAAAGTAAAATTAGCTACATACATCCAAAATCCAAGACTGGGAAGACACTTAAAAGCCGCTAATGTGGCAGTTTCTGGTTGGGTATCACTAGATTTTTCAAAGTCTATTGTAGAATGGGATTTTACCGAATATCTTCCAAATCTCATGATTGCACTAAAATGCTCATGACAGTTTACTTGCCCGTAGCTTCATGTGAAAGGAGTTCCAGTAAAATGAAATTAATAAAAAACGATTTGCGGACAACAATGACCCAATTGCGGGTTAGCAATCTTTGCATATTAGCCATCGAACACGAGGCAATACAAAATATAAATTTTGATGAAGTTATTTCTGAGTATGCAGCTGCCAAAGCTAGAAAGAAGATAAAAATATTTTTTATGTCTTAGTTTTTATTGTTTTGTCGTTTGTTCAATATTTCGAATATAAACATTAAATGATCCATGACGTTTATAAGTCATATAAAATTTATTGCTTTTGAATTTCGATGGGGTGACCCCACCAACATCCGCGGGTGCCACCCAAGATAGCTACGCCACTGTGTCACATATCCTTGATTGCAGTCTATTCTCGTCTATGCATGCTGTGCAGCCTCCATGATATAACACTACACTGTAGTCAGTCTTACGTCTTACATGACAAATATATAATACAGAAAATAAGCATATCGAAGGCCAACATTCGTGAACTCTAAGGCCTTAATATCCGCGTACAACTATCGAACGTGTTTTTTGGCGTGTGACATCATGGTGGACCTTGAAACAAACGTTTTCCCGCAGGTTTCACACGCGTAAGGCCTCTCTCCGGTATGAAGACGTTTATGTATGGCCATTGGAGTGAACTGCGTAAAGGTCTGCCCGCAAACTTCACAGCTAGAAAAAAAGGAAGAACGATCACTGGACAATACTATAGTGAGTTATTGCACCGCTTCGACAAAAAAATGAAGGGTACACGGCCACATTTGACGAAAAAGACGGTGCTGACTCACCACGATAACGCACCAGCACATTCATCCGGAGTTGCCGCCGCTAAACTGAATGAATTGCATTATGAAGTGCTGCCGCACCCCCCGTATTTACCCGATCTGGCCCCCTGCGACTTTTTCTTGTTCCCTGACATGAAGAAATGGCTCGCGGGGAAAAGATTAGCTCAAACGAGGAAGTCATCGCCGAGACAGAGGCGTATTTTGGAGAGTTCGACAAATCCTATTTTTGGGGAGGGGAGGGGAGTTAAGAAAATGGCAGGAACGTTGGGAAAAGTGTATCTTTCTAAAAGGGAATTATGTTGAAAAATAAAAATATTTTTTTTGGAAAAAATGGTGTCTTCATTTGTAACACGGGTACTTATTGAACCCCTAGGAAACACACTGCAAACTTCACCTACACAAGGCATGGCAACATTCCATTTTGATGCCATTTTGCGTAAACCACTGCAAACAGGTCCCTCCTGGCTATAGGATAGAACTTAGAAACAAAGACAAGTGACTTAACATAAAGTTTCATACCTGTATGGTCTCTCTCCTGTATGCGACCTTCTATGGCATCTTAAAGCGTCTCTCCTAGCAAAAGCTTTGCCGCACATCTCACAGACATAAGATTTTTCGCCAGTATGCATCGTTGAATGTATTTTCAAATCCACCCTTGTCAGGAAGCCCTTCCCGCAAACCTGAAAAAAATCGTGGAGATTTGAATAAAAATTATATAAGCGTATTAATAAAGTATGTATAAACGAGATATATATACCTCACACATGAAGGGTTTTTCTCCCGTATGAATCCGAGAATGGGTCTGCAGATAACTTTTTGACACGAACATCTTGTTACATATTTTACAGGAATATTTTCTATTGTCTTGACCCGAATGGATTTTTTGGTGTGCTCTACATAAACCTGAAAAAATCGGATAAAAAGATCAGAGTTAAATAAGTTTTGTAAATGAGTAGCAACATCCATAACTTCCTCTAGCATTTCTGACCCAAATTGAAACCAGGTACGAGGGTAGTCCCAGAAGTACCCGGCCTGCCTAGAGATGGCGATAGTACAATACTTTTATTTCAAAGGCCTCAGCCCAACCAATATAAAAGCTGAACTGTATTCTACTGTGGGTGAGTCTGCTCGTTCGTTTACAACAGTAAAATATTGGGTAGCAGAGTTTAAACGATGCCGTATGAGCTGCCAAGACGAGCATCGCAGTGGTCGATCAAATGAGGTGACGACTCCAGAAATGGTGAAGAAAATTCACAAAGCGGTACTGAATGATCGTCGACTGAAAGTGCGCGAGCTATCAGACATAGTAGGCATTTCAAAAGGTGCGGTTCATCGCATATTATCTGAAAATTTTACATGAGAAAGCCGTGTGCAAGATGGGTGCCGCGATTGCTCACAATCGAGCAAAAACAGTGTCGTGAACATGTTTCAATTGAGTGTTTAGCGAAGATTCACAGCAACAAAGCAGATTGTTTGCGTCGTTTGCATAACCATGGATGAAACATCACACCTCGGACAAAAGAACAATCAAAACAATGGACTCAAAAGGGACAACCGGCTCCAAAGAAGGCGAAGACCGTTTTATCTGCAGGCAAGGTTATGGCGTCGGTTTTTTGGGATGCGCGTGGGATAACTTTCATCGACATCTTGAAAAAGGTAAAACTATCAACGGCGAGTATTATGCGAACTTATTGCAACGTTTGAGCAACGAAATCAAGCAAAAACGGCCGCATTTGATCAAGAAGAAAGTGTTGTTTCATCAAGACAATGCACCAGCTCACAAATCCGTTATTGCAATGGCCAAAATTAACGAATTAAAGTTTTAATTGCTACCTCATGCACCATATTCACCAGATTTAGCCCCCTCGGGTTATTTTCTGTTACCAAACTTGAAAAAATGGCTCAGTGGTCAAAGATTTTCCAACGATGAAGAAGTGTTGTCGGCAGTTAATGGCTATTTTGAGGAGCAAGACAGTTCTTATTATAAAAAGGGTATCGAACTTACTGAACATCGCTGGGAAAAGTGTATAGAGCTCAAAGGAGATTATGTTGAAAAATAAATACATTTTTTACAAAATTTTTGTGTTTGTTTCTTTGGGTCGTTTTCTGTGAAAAACGCTACAGTCGACGATTGCATCGTCAATTTCTTTGAGCACTCACCATGTATAAAACCAACTTTTGTGGTTTGATTAGAAACCATAATACCAGCTCACACCATACAGAATACTGGCCTATTGATGAATAAACAAAATTGTAACCCTAAACGTATTTTACCTTTAGTGATGAAGCCTTTTCCACAAAGATCACACATATAAGGCTTCACTCCTAAGTGCCTGTTTGTGTGGTCCAACAGAGATTGTTTTGTCTTAAAGTTTTGCCCACAAGTGGTACAAGGAAAAGGTTTTTCAGTAGAATGAACGCGTTGGTGAACCATCAGATAACTTTTGCACTGGAAGCCTTTGCCGCAGGTGGAACACGAATAGCTGTACTGGCCTGCAAAGAAATAGTGAATGGAAACAGATTCGCTAGGTGCTTTCTTCGTGTAGAAACGCAGGAAACTTTCACGTTACTTTTTTATTTTCGCTACTTCTTTGTGTAAGCAAATACAAAATGCCTAAAGGCACACACTAAGGTGTGGTTCCAGCAAAGAGATGTTATACCAAAAAAAAAAGGCGAATGGAGTTACATAATCTGTTCGTGTGCAAGAGAAAGTGGCAGCCGCGTTAGGGATCAGCTTAAGCAATGTGCAATTTCTCTAAGGAAGTTGAGCTCAACAAGTGGTACAATTAAGACATGTTTAATTATTTGGTATAACATTGTAACGTAGCCGCCAAAAACAGTGAAAAGTCAGCTCAGTATGAATGTAGCAGTATCTAAACATTTTCTGTCATTTTGGCAACACTGCCTCGGTAGATGCCGAGCCACTTATGAGCGGAAAACCAAACCAAGGGAGCTTTCTTGCCTTGTCACAGATCACTGTGTTTTTGTCGTAAATCGGTAAGCAGGCTAAACTCAAGATCAATAGAGCAGACCGGCGGATTATAAAGACATTATACAAATTGCTAGTAAACTATTCTTTTGTCTGTTATGTTAAATACACTGTGCTGGTGGTCTAATTACCTGTATGCTTAGCTTCATGCTGGGCTAAACCTATTTTCGACCTAAATGCCTTCTCACAAGATTTACATTTGTATGGTTTCTCGCCTGTGTGTTTCCTCATGTGTTCTGCCAACTTGTAATTTGTTTTGTACGATTTTCCACATTCTTTACAAATCTAAAAAAAAATGGCGTCAAGTAGATTCCAATTCCCACCCAATTCTGAACAAATAAACTTTGTATATGTATCATTGAACCCTAGCATACGGCCTTAGATTGAAGAAAATCTTTGTTCATTTGATAAACATCGAAATTACGGGATCAACTTTCTTACGTTCTGGTAGGTTTACTGTTAGTCAGCTATGGGAACCCATATAATATAATGAATATGATTGGAGAAAAATTGTGAGATTAATTTTTTTTTTAATAACGAAGGTCAACTTTCATATGCCCTGGTATTATTTGATTAAGGTAAAGCTACTAAAAATAGATTAGATTCCTGATTCCACAAAATATCTTCCTATTTGTAAAGGACTGGTGAATGTCTATTCGTCATTCCACGCGTGAATAACTACTATACTACTACTAATGTTGTCTCCCTATGTGCTTATTTGTATTCAATGAAATATATTGCCCCGGTAGTCTCAATAGATACGTCGCCGAGGCATCCTAACCTTTTCTCAGCTATTTAGCAAACTTTACATACAAAAGTTCTATGGACATGGGTCCGGAAATGGAGGGTTTTCAAGTCACAGGGTGAGCAATTTATAAGAAAATTATCAATTTCAATATCAGCATTTTTTTGATGTTTTGTTTTCCCAAGACACTTGATTTTTTCAGCAAAAATTAATAAACCAATTTTGTCAAGTGACATGCAATAAAAAGGTTTTTATTTTTTTTTTCTCGAATACGAAGTGATATACGAAAAAACAGGAGGCAAAGACGTTTTATTTTTAGATGCCTAATCAAACAACAAATATTAAAGTCACAAAAAAGGCAGCGGCGTTATATTTTTTACAAAACATGCCTGACGCTGATTCGTCAACCAATACGATCGTCTTTGGTAGCTCAACCAATAGGAATAAAGAGGATTCTATTCCTTCCCACCTAGCGCAAAAAAACAGGAAAAACTAGTGCGAACGCTCGTATTAGTAAACAGAGTTTGTCGTACAAAAAATTCCTTACGGGGATTGGTCGACCAATACGATCATCGTTTACAGCATTTACACCTCCCACAAAAAAACTAGACTCGTTTGAATGCTCTTATCAGCAAATAGAAATAGTCGCACAAAAAATGACTGACGCTGAGCCGTCAACCAATACGATCGTCTTTCGTAGCTCAACCAATAGGAATAAAGAGGATTCTATTTCTTCGCACCTAGCGCAAAAAAACAGGAAAGTTTAGTGCGAACGCTCGTATCAGTAAACAGAGTTAGTCGTACAAAAAATTCCATACGGGGATTGGTCGACCAATACGATCATCGTTTACAGCATATTATTAACACTTCCAACAAAAAAACACATGACTCCTTCGAATGCTCTTATCAGCAAATAGAAATAGTCGCACAAAAAATGCCTGACGCTGATTCGTCAACCAATACGATCGTCTTTTGCAGCTAGTTACGAAAAAATACAAGAGGCAAAGAAGTTGTGTTTTTAGATGCTTAATTAAACAACAAATATTAAAGTTACAAAAAAGGCTGTGGCGTACATTTTTTTACCAATAATATTCGCTAAGGTGCCCCCCGGAACGCCACTAGACCTAATAATTTTAGTCTATTTAGAGCTAAATTAGTTCCTTAATTCAACAAATAATATTGCCAAATTTCAAGAGAATCAAGTAAATATTTTTTAAGATATCAATAAAACAAGATTTTTTTTAATTTATCATATTGTATCTTGAAAACTCTGCATTTCCGGACCCATGTTTATAGATACTTTTATCATATTTTTTAACAATACATCACCCTCTAAAATATCTCCGTCTATTTTTCGAACACCCTGTGTATGCGTGAAATATGCCTAATACGCGTACAATTACTGGGGTTAGAAAACCCCTATCCCCAAATTTCTTACCCCTAAAAAGATTGTAAAATATTATGAGGGTCCTTTGAAACGTCAAACAACGAAATTTGAGTCATTTTTATTTTATTCGTTTCTGGCCTTTTTCCCCGCCGCCATTGGACCGATTTTCAAACACTAAAAAGCTTTTTGTCTTTGGCATACGAGGGATGTCTTTTGAGTTTTACATATGGAAATAAAACAATACGGTAGGTAGTTTTGAATGACTTTATTGTTTTTCGAAGAATTCTCCACGAAGATTAATACACATCTGCATGGGCTCGAACCAATTTTCGAAGCACTTATTCCACTCGTTTGCTGGCAGATCCAAAACGGCATTTTTGAATGCGTCAACAGCTTCTTCTGGTGACTGGAACCTTTGACCACGCAGTCTGTTTTTAGTTTTCGGAAAATAAAGAAGTCGTTAGGACTTAGATCGGGACTATATGGAGGATGGTCAAATAATTCCACGTTTTCTTCCGTTAAATACTGCCTTGTTTTTTGTGCCAAGTGCGAGCTTGCATTGTCTTGGTGGAGGATGATTCTTCTTTCGGGGTTGATTTTTCGAAGCTCGGTGATGACTTTTGGCAAACAAATGGTGGTATGCCAATCCGCAGTAACAGTTCTTTGCTCATTTAGAGGAATTGTTGCAATATGACCCGCTTTTGACACAAATGTCGCGACCATCTTTTTCGAAACACTTCGAGAACGGATGACTTTCGGTGGCTTTTCTTCACCTTGGAACACCCAAACAGCCGACTGTCGTTTATTCTCTAGTTCATAACAGTAAATCCACGATTCATCACCACTAGCAATGCTGTACACATGTTTTGAGTTTGCGGAATTGAAACAGTCAAGCGTTTTTTGACACCAATTAACCCTGGATGCTTTCTGCTCTTCAGTCAACAGGTGGGGTATCCAACGAGAAACTAATTTTCTTACTCCTAATTCTTCATGTAACATTTTTTGAATTGAGGTCTTTGAGATCTTCAAGGACGCCTCAATCTCTCGATATGTTACATGTCGATCTTCAATGATGAGTTTGCGCACAGCATCGACATTTTCCTGGGTGGTTTTTGGTGCACCGACCCTGGGATCGTCGCTAAGACTCACCCGTCCACGTTTGAATTCTCCATATCAAGGGGAAATTGTCGACTGATATGGCGCTTCGTTGCCGAAAACAGACAGTACCTCAGTAAGGCATTCTTGTTGCGATAATTGTCTCTGAAAGTTGTAATAAATTATGGCGCGAAAATGTTCTCGGTTGAGTTCCATTTTTCTAATGACTTGGTGACTTTTAAAAATTCACTGTAGTGAGAACACTGCACGTATTGTTGTGAAACTTTGAATTTAAGTTTACTAAAGAGTGAGGTTAAGATTCAGTACTGACGTTCGATCCGCGCGGCCTACTATGTTTCTATATGCAAAAGACATCCCTCGTAGTAGCAAATTTGTGTGGAAATTTTATCAAAATCCGAGCGTACTTTCCAAGGATTGGCCAGTAGGCGCGGGAAGTAAAATTGCATCATAAATCTATTTTAATAAATGCTAAATTCAGTCAGGATTTCACCTTTGGACTGCATTTAGTTTTCTTATCTTCTTCCGCATTTTTATTGTCGTTGTTTGAATTGATATCACCCTCGCCTTCATTTCCATGTTCCGAGTCATGCTCAATGTCACTATGATCACTTTTTATGCCACTGTCTGACTCAAATCCATAAGATTGCTTTTTGGGAACTTCCGTTTGCTAAAATAAAATATAACATGCAAACTTTTATTAAAACGATTGAAATAGCATACAAAATGAAAAACTTACAAATTTGTCATTATCATGTATTTCTATAACGCAAGTCACATCCAAAACTTATACTTCTTAAGATTTTTTTAAACACAAAAGTTCCTGTAATAGTACCATAGTCTAAAATAATAATTTTCTATACCTCAGTGTTACATGAACCATGTGCTTCTTTTCTGTGTGTATTCAGCACATCTAGACTAGTAAATAATGCCATACATAATTCACATTTGTGAAAATGCTTTTCATAGTGGTCTTCAAATGCACACCTTTGTTCATAGGATTTGCAACATAGGTTACAGTAGTACCTGGTAAAATAATAATTATGAAAATGATTTCACAATAACTGTTTATATTATTATAGTTTATGAAAAGCTGAAAAGATAGTTGAGACTTCAGTAAAGTTCAAATGTATTTGAAAATTGAAGAGTTGTAGATCAGATCTCAATACTTGCATCAGTCAGAAAACTAAGATAATAGAAGTGCCTATGTCTATAGGTAGTCTAAAGTTCCTAAACTTTTGTTGACAACAAAAACAAAATTGTTACAGGAAGCATTATTCATGGTACATCTTGGTTTGGTTTTTAAACCCAGAAGTCTAACAATCAGCTACTGAATAAATATATTAGATGCTATTGAAAGTTATGTTTGGTAGTACTAGTATTTTCTTCTATATCAGGATGGCAACTGTGTCTGATTATGTATAATTTGATAGGACAGCCTCAGAAATATTTAGTGCTGCTAATGCAAAAATTTAATAGCATATAAGCTACAGCTACAGCTTACCATTGTTTTTGAATATTAGATACTGAGTTATCATTGTCAACTTTCATGTTGTAGATTATTTTATCGGCATCAGAGATTTGATTGTGTTCTATTTTGAAAGAATGGCCACTATTACTATCCTCATGTTTGAAACTGTCTACCCTGTTAAACCTGTAAAGTTAGAAATTGAAAATGTTTTACTGTGTAAGTAATGTCAATAAAATTTTTCAAATAATGTTACCCACCCATCCTTTGGATGATAATCAAGCTGTTTGGGTGTCATATCGTTCAGTCCAGAATTTGATTGCATATCATCAATCGATAGCTTTGTATGTTCATAACTGATATTACATACATCTTGACTATCTATTTTCTCTAAGCTATATCTGTCAGGATCTTGAAGTGAATTAGGTTTTGCCTAAAACAGATTTTATAAATTGATTTTAACGAATTCCTCTTCAAAATATTCAAGTATTTAAATTGTCACTTTTGCTCTAAAGCGGCAAAAACTTCATCCTTGTTTGAATAATTTTTTTCTCGTATTTGCTTATCTAAGTGTTTCCATAGATTTACAATTGGATTTATATCGGGAGGCTGTGAAGGCCATTTAAAAACTGGTATATTTCATACAGAAAAAATTTCTTTACGAGATTTGAAATGCGCTTCGGGTCATTATCTTGCTGGAAGATTGATCTCAAGGGCATATTGTCTTCCATATAGGGTAATATGACATGCTTTAGTATGTCTGTGTATACAAACTCATCCATAATGCCATCTATTCTATGTAAAGGTCCCATCCCAAATCCCGAATAGCACCCCCAAACCATAACAGACCCGCCTCCATGTTTGACAGTAGGCAAAGTGTACTTGGGGTTCAATATTTGTCCACTAGGACGTCTAACGTAATGAACACCATCTGATCCAAACATATCGAACTTGGATTCGTCTCGGGAACATACCCTCTTCCAGTCACAGATGCTCCAATCAAGATGCAACCGTGCAAATTGTAATCGGTCCTTACGGTTTTTCCTCGAGATTAGCGGCTTCTTACTCGGCGACGTGCAAATAACTGCAAATCATTTAATCTTCTACTTATAGTTTTCGTAGAAACACTGACAATTCCTTTTGTCTCGATTTCAGCTTTTATTTATCTTGGGGTTTTAAACGGATCTTTGGACGAAATTACTTTTATTAATCTAACTGATCTAGCATTTAGTTTTCTAGGCTGACCACTTCTCTTAGAGGCTTCCAAGATACCTTTTTGTTTTATATTTGTTCAATATTGCCCGAACTGCTTTACGTTTCAGCTTCAAATTTTTGCCAATGTCGATTTGACGTTGACCATATTTGTATAACTCAATGATATTAGTTTTCACATTGAAAGAAATTTCTGGACTATGTGGCATGGTCCTAAAATCACTCAACTTATTGCACAATACTTGATGAACACAAACTGTACTAAACTAAGGTTGAAAAGAATTTGTCTACATATTTTTGTACCTCATAAAAAAGTCCTTATATTCAGACTTGTATTTTGTTCATTGCAGATAATGTAAAAACAAGGAATTTAGTTTTTCTACTAATAATGCATTTGTTTATGGAGCAATGAAGTATGAATTTCTAAAGGGATTTAGGTAAATATTCATATTTGTCTATATACTTTTGTCCATTACTGTAAGTGGAAATATAAATGGACATAGTACTTATGATTTTTTGCTACAATTACAAATTAAAATAGTGTAATGTTGCTGGTACAAACTGGACCTATAACTGTCTACCTCTAAAAAAAATTATATCAAAATTGAAGTCAAATCAAACTAAGAGTGAAATTCTGTCAAAAAGTGTACTTAGTAAATGGTTTAATAATATTGGAAGAATTCCAAACTGGACAACCAATATACAGCTAGTAAATGTTCTGCCAGATGTTTAGAAAAGTATTTGAAGAAATTATTTCTGAATAGATCATTGAATTCATACAGGGAAATTTAACCAAATTTCAAGCTGAATTTAGGAAGAAACACTCAACTGAAACGGCAGTAGATATGGCTTTAGAGGACTGGAAGACATGTATGGACAATAGGAAACACACAGTGGTAGTGTTTTTGGACCTCAAACTACCGACAGGGATAAACTACTTAAAAAAATTGCATCACTACAGATTTAAAGGATCTGTATTCAACGTTCTACAAAACTACTTAATTGACCAAAACTGGATCTACATTATCCAGCTCAAAAAATATTTGTTTGTGGGGGCTACTTAAATGAAATACTATCACAGTTAGGATAAATGGTGAAATAATTGAAAAAGTTGAATCAACAAAGTATTTGGGTATATACATTATATACATATTATTGTATTTTATAATCCAATAAATAGCATTTTCTTTTCATTTGTAAGTCCGCATGATGAAAGCATATACAGGTGGTTTAAACCATCTAGGTGCATCTTTCTGTCATCAGGATGCCCTTGATGAAGAGGAATTATATTGTTGTGTTATATATTTATGTGTATTTATAATTTTTGTATATGCTCTTTGTTGGATGTTATTGTTATTAAATAAATAAAAAATATATATATATATCTAATTGCAATATAAATATAACTAGCAAATCAATATTTTAGAAGGAGTTGCTTGAATTTAATAAACTAGACACTGATACTTCTAATTTAAAGCTGTTTAAAAACAAAATTAAAGGAACATTTCATGGCCAGTGAAAATTGGTGTGTTACATAATTGTAGTTTTTAAAAAGAATGTAACTGTAGCAATCATGGTAAATAAATCAAACAAACAATGTATTTGTGTGCCATCAAAACAAACAAATTCAAATAATCTTACTGACCAGTGGGTCATAAATGGCTGGGCATGACAGCAATCAAGCAGTTACATATAACATACCTACATTATAAAATCTGGATACTTACCATATGTTCAACAGGTAAACTAGCCTCATGATCATCAGATATACTTAACTGCAACTCTTGTTGCAACCTAAACTGATCAGTCAACAACTGATGTTGCATCAGACTTAAATTTTCAGCATATTGTGCCTCACTCGCTGAATCAACTATAGCAACTTCTTGACCATGTAGGCTCTGATTAGAATGATCCTGATTCAAGTCATGATTGCTGAGATCAATGTCTAAGGCAGTAGAGTTTATATGAACATTCTGATGAGTTAGAATGATCTCATGGTCTACAATGATGCCCCCTCGGTGCTCTAGAGAACTAAGGTCTATCTCAGATACATCACGAAGACTGTGATCAGCAAGTAATGGGTGGTGTGACTGAACAAGGACTAATTCATGGTTATCAACAGGTACTAAACATGGTTGCTGAGCCCGTGTTGTTGCAATTTCTTTATACAATTCTACCAGCAACCTTTCTGTTCTTGCTGATCTTTCTCGAAAGTCGCTGAATAATTCCAACTTGTACAGACAATTTTCGCATATCATTTTTGGTAAGCAGTCTTGTTCATGCACCTAGAAGTGTTGCCTGTAAAATTTTCAGTTGAGAACCATGGGATGACTTACCTTCACTGGAAGACATGTATCTATCTTTTTGCTAATTTGGCGAATTGCTCCTTCGTTTTCGAAAATATTTATAGCCAGAACCATCGTCGATTTGGTAGCACAAAGTCTACAGAGTTCATCATATTTAGAATGTTCCATCATATTCAAATATTCAGATATAACATGCAGTAAAGTTTGATAACACCCTGTAGTTAAATAATCACAATAGTTTTAGATCTCAAAGTAATTAAATTAAGTATTTTATAAAATATTAGGCTTGTTTTATGGACTCATCTATAAATGATAAAACTTTGGTAAAATTACTTATCAAAAATGAAAATAGACCCCTTTCTCTTTTGCAAATAAATCTGGCATGTGGCAGCTGACATTCGTCCTCGATCGGTTAAAAGAAGACCAGGTTGCCAAGTTACGAAATATTTTCCCAAATCAGCAGATTTGCGGTTCATGTATTAAGGCCCGTATCGTCAGTCGTTCCTACAATAATTGTAGGACGCCTTTATGGTCTTGCATCAGATTGTGCATGCTTTTGAGTTATATCATGTTTTATTAGCCTGAAATTTCCTACAATTTAAAAAGAAACCATATCTTCACAATAGGAGAGCGCTGATGCTGACATAGAACAGGTGCAATCTAGAAATTTTTGAAGTAGAGAAAGGAGTATGACGATCAAGGAGGTCATAAAGACGTCCTACAATTGTAGGAACGACTGACGATACTGGCCTAAGTACGCAAAGCAAAAACTGATTAACGAAAAGACGTTATGGGCGCCCGCAGTAACTTTTTAGCTAATTCTCTCAGGGACTGCAGATCCTAAAAAGCCCTGAAATTGTGCGCAAAACCATGCTAAATATGCAAATTTTGACCTCCAACTGGATTCTCATAGATGCCTCCCGTCAGGATTGTCTTTTTCACGAGTGTCCATCACAGTAGACTATTTAATAATATTTCCAAATTCCCCATTTTAACAAATGACACAATTCTGATGGATCCATCAACGCCAGGTAGACCGAGCCGTATTTTGATTTGGAATTTTGTATCCTCTTTACTTATTTTGTACTTGCTGACAACTCTTTTATTCAAAAAAGTGTATTTACATTTAAAAAAACGCTATAAGACGGTTTTATTAGATTCAGTACTGTGAAGGCAACGTACTAATACAAAGATTTTACTTGCTGATGAGCTGTTCACCTGAGTAGACGTCAAAACATGATGGAAGCTGGTAAAATAGGGTTTAGTTTAGACCCCTGTGAACGATGAGATACTTGCAGGTATCTAATCAAAATATAATGTGATGTTTTTATTTTTGCGCAACCTAAGACGTATTCTATATGAAGATACCTAGGTTAACACTTAATACTGTACTCCGGCGTCAAAATGTTATCCGAAATAAAATAAGATACTGTCGTGTCATCCGTTTTGCCACCAAAGTATATACTTTGGAAAGGTACTCGTAGATTAAACTCGTATACATTACTCAATTATGCCTTTCTATCACATTCGCGGAATGACTTCCTTGGCTGATCGAGCAGCTGTAAAAGTGCAAGTCACAAACTGCGATCACAGAGTGTTCATCTCCAAGTGATAGACACTTGGCAACAGCGCAAAAGCACGTTGACACACGTCACGATGACGTTTACATTTCATAATTTATTTTTAATTTTTAATGGACTTTAAATATTCCTGGCTTCTTAAAACAAATCATAATTAGTAGCTAGGATAGAATGTTGCACATATTCATCAGAAAAAAGTGAAACTATAACAAAACGAACACAAAATGGCCACGAAACGACGAGGAATCCACGCAACAAATTTCCGACCGAACGTGCTCAACTCAGCCAGTGAAACGAAGGGAACCAAGCCAACTTGTGGACCCACGTCCATCAGAGAAATCCTCACACTAACCGTACTGCACGTCTGTAAAAAATCGCTATTTTTTGACACCAATTTGAAGGTTGCCATTTATCTGGGCAGCTTATTCATCATTTCATTGATTGCTGATGTTCTACCATTCCCCAAAATCTACCTATCAAGATCTGACAATATATTCAACAGGTTGTTTGTGAAATTTTCCTGGGGCTGGAACATCATTCTGCTGACCCCATTTATCTTGCTCACCTCACTAATTTACTGCTGTGGAGACAAAGTTAAAGTAGCAAAACAACACCTGTTCAGGCTCGGAATAGCTACATTCTTTTGGTATTTTTGGACATCACTATTCAACTACATAGAAGCAAGTTACGGAAGATGTGGAAATGCAACTTTTGCCACAAAAACATCATGCTTACTTGAAGGACATGTATGGAATGGATTTGATCTCTCTGGACACTCATTTATATTGATTTATGGGAGCTTAGTTATAATTGAAGAAACTCGTTGTATCGTGAACTGGGACTGTATCAAGGAGCATCTAAGGCTAGAAGAGCATTATCGTGTGACAAGAGAAACTACACCGAGCACAAATCCTTTGCGGAATCTTTCTGATGCACAAATAAAATATGTTAAGGAAAATTATGAAAAGTTCACACCATATATCAGAGGATTATTAGTAGCTATTGCCTTGTTACAAGTCTTATGGGATATAATGCTACTCTGTACAATGCTGTACTACCATATCATGATCGAGAAGTTTTTGGGAGGATTAGCAGCAATAGTAACATGGTTTGTAACGTATAGATTTTGGTATGCTTTACCAAACTTATTACCAAAGATGCCAGGTGAAGGAGGCTTTAAGTATATGAAAACTGTCTCACCTCAAGTTGAACCTGTAGGGAAAGTAAGGCGAGCAAATAGCATCACAGATCCACAGGTGCCAATGTTTATGGGGAGGCCAATTTATACAAAATTGGGCAGAGACAAGGAAGAAAATAATGTTTTAGCTTCTAGTTAGTAGCTACTTTTTATTTATTTTTTACTTGTTATATTTTTTATTTTTGTTAAATTTTACTTTGATGGTTGTTGGCGTAAGAATAAACTGCTAATGTTTATTGGTGATATTGTATTTTGATGAACCTAATTCTAAATTAGAATTTTAACCTTGAATATTGTAATTATTAACCACATTGATGATCAGATCTTGTTTATGAAGAAAGAGGCATAATTAAGTAATTTATTGTGTGCAATAGATGCCTTTTGAGATTCTATGGAATAGAACTATTAACAAGTTTTCCATCTTCGTACAGTAATTTCGATTGTACAGAATAAACTAATAAAGACATAGCAATTTGTTGAGAAGCAAGATATTTGATACAAAAATGGTTTTATGCTATTTTGCACCTTAACTTACTGAAGTTGAGGTTTGATAAGAGACCTGGGCAAATATCATGAGCGCCATCTAATTTTTCCGAAAAAAATCATAACACATTGCTAAGTATATTTGCCCCTGCACGAATGTTTTTCGTTAAAAAAATATTACTTTGCGTTGTTTTTTCGATTTTTTTCACGGAAAAAATTAGATGCCTGAATGGTATGTGACATGACTATTTCATGAGTAACAGTTTTCTGGTGTCCTAGGAGATCATAATTACTTGTTTTCAAAGGAATTGAAATTTTTGGTGACAACCGCTGTCAAGTTTTGCCACGTGATAACTCGAAAAAACTGCTGACAGGTGCTGTCATATATTTTTTCCATCTAGATTTCTGATTAAAAATTGCGCGTTTGTGATTGGTAGAAATTAACACGTTAACTGTCTCCTTTTTTTCGGTTGGTTTTACCCAGGAGCCAATTAGTTGTACATATAATGGTTAGTTTGTTATTTTATTAGTATAAATCATAAAAACAGTTATTGAGGTATTTTCGTAAAATGTTTTTTTAATAAGAAGATTTTTTGTGGCTCTTCTAAGAGCCGACGGCACTGACTTACAAATCAATTTCCTGTGTGCTAGCTGGCGCTTATAAAAGTTGGAAAATAATTATTTATTTTTTTATAATAGAAATAAACTAAAAGCAAAATTTATTATCGACCGTTAACAAAAATAAAATATTACAAATAATGTTTGTAACAAAATAGTAGGGAACATATAAAAGTATAACAAAAACTTTTCCGGTAACTACGTGATGAAATCTAATCAAAAATACGAAATGAAACAACTTTTTTTTAGAATACAAACATGAATTTGTCACTGCACTAAAAGCAGAATCCTAGAACATCAGGGCATGTTCTACATTCGTACATCGCTTGGGTAGGGATTCCCTTCTTGCTACAAGACTGGCACCTTTTTCTGGATACTTGTTTTTTACCATCTAAATCACGTTTTACTAATTTGTGACCTTGAGTGCCTGCAGTATTGTACGTAGGTTCTTATAAGAACCAGCGGCAGCGAACATGTTACGACGCGGGACATAGTGCTGACACAGAACAGGTGCAATCTAGAAATTTTTGAAGGAGAGAAAGGAGTATGACGATCAAGGAGGTCATAAAGACGTCCTACAATTGTAGGAACGACTGACGATACTAGCCTAAGTACGCAAAGCATAAGTTTGAAAATAATTATTTATTTTTTATAAGAAATAAACTAAAAGCAAAAAAAAACATTTATTATCGACCGTTAACAAAAATAAAATATTAAAAATAATGTTTGTAACAAAATAGTAGGGAACATATAAAAGTATAACAAAAACTTTTCCGGTAACTAACGTGATGAAATCTAATCAAAAATTCGAAATGAAACAACTTTTTTTTAGAATACAAACATGAATTTGTCACTGCACTCCAAGCAGAATCCTATAACATCAGGGCATGTTCTACATTCGTACATCGCTTGGGTACGGATTCCCTTCTTGCTACAAGACTGGCATCTTTTTCTGGATACTTGTTTTTTACCATCTAAATCACGTTTTACTAATTTGTGACCTTGAGTGCCTGCAGTATTGTACGTAGGCTCTTATAAGAGCCAGAGGCAGCAAACGTGTTACGACGCGGGACATAGTCGATTTAAAGCCCTGTTTACCCAACTACCTCAGAATGAGGGTTATTTAAATATTCTACATAGGGCTGAATTGATTGCATTTGCACCCAAATTGTAATAACAAACATACTGAACTGAATGACCAGTTTCACAGACTTTTTTTCATGATACTGATGATTTGCCCGATGGCTTGGAAATTGGAATAAATAATTATAATCAAAATGAAAACGAAATATTAAATGAAATGCTCGAACAGATCTTGTTGGGTTTAACAGTTATCTACCCTATTGTAGCAGCATGTGTGAACATTTTCTGGTATAACGTATTGGCAACGCGGCAGGTTGCACGAACTTCTGCGTCACCGTTGCTAGGCAATGTGGTGATGACCTTCGCTCTTCAGCCGGCTTCTATCTCTTTCTAACATGTGTTGATACATACTTCTCGCGCTTCTCTCTGGTACACATTGAACTCAAGCCATCTGACAAATTTGGTTTTCCTGTATAAACATA